AAATTCCTATTCATCATCATTTTTATTATATTATTCATCCTTTTTTTTATTATTATTATTCGATAGATTTATTCCCCAAGAGTCTTTTGATGTCTAAGATTTTGATGTTCGTCAATATGTGGATCTTCGAACTCTCATCATTGTTATCTACTGAAAAAAAAAAATATATATATATATTTGAAATAGAACAAGAAAAATGTAATATTGATGAATCGCTGCCTAATAGATAGAGATTGTAAAAAGAAGGATTTCTTTTGACAAATAACAGAACGGATGTTTTAGAGAACAATTATTGTGTTAGAATTAAGAGAATATTGACTCGTTCTTCTCAACAAATCTCGATTAGTTTTTTCTCCTCTTTATTATTATTTAACATACTCAAGTTTTTTTTTCTAAATGAGTTTTAGTTTTCTATTAAATATTAATAGTATATTAAGAGACACTATCAATAATGATTGATTTTGTATCCTATTTCGAAAATTTTCTTTTATTAGTCATATGCAATATATCCGGAATACCACTTACTTTTTTCCTGTTGATAATAGCAGCAGAAAAAATCGACAAGAAAATAAGAGAAGAGAAAAAAAACGAGACGATGAAGATGAATATAAATTCTGAGAGAGAAAATGTTTTTTGCATGTTAAATTTTAGATATATAAAAAAAAAAAAAGAAATCTTAATTTATATTATTTTAATATTAATATCAATGATATACAATTCATCATTTATATCAAAAACAACGTGTCTTGAATCTGGTACTCGCGGTCCAGATGCACCTTTTTATCGTTGGTTAGCTCTTGGTTACGTTTTTTTATTTATTCTTGCATTAACTGCTAATCTACGTGTATTATTTAAATTATTTCATTATTCAAGACGTCGTTTTCGTGATCACATACTTTTATTAAATTTATGTGCTGCTGATTTATTTTTTACACTTGTTTATATTCCAAGTGAAATCTATGCATATACTGTTGGACGTTGGCATAATGATGAAATATGTAAAATAATAGCAGCATTAAAAGGTCTTGGAATTTATGTATCATCATGTACAATTATTGGTATATCACTCGATCGTTATCTATCAATTGTACATCCTTTAACTGTTTATCAATCAAATACAAGAAATAAATTATTTGTTGTTGGTTCATGGTTTATTTCATCTTTAGCTTGTATACCACAAGTAAGATTTTTATTTTATCTTTAGTTTTTTTTTTTTTCATAAGAAATTTTTTTTTCCAAAACAGTTAATCATTTTTAAGCGATTAACAAATGAAGCCTTATGTCGTGAAATGTGTGGTGATATATTATCAACCGATCCAGCAAAACGTTTAGCTTACAATATTGGTGTTGCAATATTTGCCTATATAGCACCATTATTAACAATTTTTTATTCTTATTTTCGTATTTTATATGTATTACATAAACGATCAGATCGACGAACATTTCGATTTGTTAAATCTACTATTAGTAGAAATAGATATGATATAAATCAAACAAATAATCCGTTTAGATCAAGTAGAAAAATTATTAATCGTGAAAGATCTATTAATTGTGGACAATCATTAGTACAACAAGAAATTAATTCACATAATATGAAAACAATAACAAGAGCAAAATTAAAAACATTAAAATTGACTGTTTTTATTGGTAAAAAATAAATTGATAACAAAAAAAAAAAAAAAAAAAATATATTAATTATGTTTTTATCTTAATTTTAGTCATTTGTTTTATTCTCTGTTGGACACCATATTATTGTATTGTCTTTTTTATACTTATAACTGATGCTCGCATTGATCGAGAAAATGCTAAAACTACTAGTTTAATAGATACATCAATTATTGATCAATCAACACATAATGAACGTTCACTTTTAATTGTTATGATGCTTGCTGTATCGAATTCCGTTTTAGATCCATTGATATATGGTAATTTTCAACCAATATCATATTAGGTTTTTTTCCTTATTTTACTTGAACATTTTTTATATACCTTGTTTTTTTCTTTTTCGTTCAAAGGTTGTTTTATGGTAAAATCAATTAAATCGACTTGTTGTAATCGACTAAGAACTCAAACTGAAAGAACAACATATAGACGTACTGGAAATCCTTTAACAGGTGATAAAGAATCAAAATTAACAATTATTAAAACTAATATGAAAAATGACAATAATCAACAATGTGATGCACCTGTTGAATGTCAACTTTAAAAAAGAGAAAAATAAAAACTAAAAAATACTCAGATGTTGTTTGTTTTTCTGTCGATACATATATATATATAGAAAGAGAGAAAGAGATTTTTCTCTTTTTCTTCATGATCGTACAAACAAAAAATAATTAAATGAATTTTGATGAATCTATTTAGTAGAAAAATATATTTTATTATTAATTATTGATACTTATTTGTCTAATATCTTTACAATAGACAAATAAAAACAACAAACTCAATTTATCTGTGTGAACAAAAATGAAAATAATAGACTAAAGTTGCTTAGAATAGCACATAAATGTCGATCGACAATAAATTTAATTTCGAAAAAAAAACAAATATATAAAAGTTTGTTCTCGTATTCATCAGGTTAGAGAAGAAATCTTATTTCATATTAAATAGCTTTATTTAAAAAAAAAAGTTAAATCTTTTTCAACCGATTATATTTTTTATCAGAGAAAAGTCTTATTCATTAGATAAATGTCTAATCTTATTAATGTTTACTGTATTTTTCCATTCTAAAGATTGAATGTATCAAAGAAGAATATTTATTTAAACAATTCTTTTTCTTAATTATCAGAAAAATTTTCAAAAGCCAACATATTTATCGATAAAACAATCTATCAATTACCTAAAAAAACTATTTGATAATGAATTTAATATGAACATTTTTTCTTTCTTTTATTCTAATTTCATCAAATTACAAACAGAAGAGAAGAAAAAAATTCAAGCAAAATTAATAAGATAATTAATAAGAATAAATAAATAAATAATTTATTATGAGCAATTTAACAATGAAAATCTGTTTGATGTTGATCATAATTCATATGTTGAAAAACAAATGGAGATTTATAATTGACAATATCATATGATAAACTCTGAGTAGAACACATTGATGATTTACAGTGAAGCGAAAAAAAAATTGCCGTTAGTATTTGCTGAAGCTATCTCTCTGAACACGATGAATATTGAAAGTTCTTTTTTCGTAAATAGTTTAAATACCACTGAGTGTATAAATATATTAATCAATAACTAGTCTTGGTTTTCTTCAGTTAACAAACAAGGAAATATCACATCCTCACCACTTCACTCAAAATAGCTTAGACTTATTTTGCCTATGCATATGAATTCTGTCAAAGCGTAAAAGATGCATTTGGAGTAAAGTCAGAGTAGCTATGAACCTAATTTCGGATGAAGAATAGGTAGTTGCAGTTTCAGCTCCATATGATGCTGACCTTATTTCTAAGACAAGAAACAAACTATGCGCCACATTCTCACAATGTAACCTCTATGTAAACCTGAAGACAACTTTTGAGAATTATTTACTTGAAACAAATTTCATGTATTAGCCGGGGCCTATCTGCTCTCAAAATTTCAAGTCAATCGTATAAGTCATTATCGAGAAAGTGAGAAAATCGTGTGCAGGCGCCATTTGAACAGAGAAATGTGTAGACAGTGATCATCTCTTTACTTCTAAGATTACTTGTGCTTGGAGCTCATTTACATTTTATTTAATCCTATGAACAAAGT